GGATTTAGGTCTATTGGAGGAATGTTAGCTCAAATGGTCTTTATTTCTTTAGATATGCTATCGGTTTGGTGAATTGTGTTATTTTAAGTTCACATTAGAGCTGAGTTCACATCAATTGCAGAGCCCTCTACAGAAAGGAATGTGAGCACCACCCACAATCTCTTTCCAAATTCACTTGCTTTGATTTTCAGATCCTTACATCTGTCCAGATTTGGAAAATAAAGGCTTGTTTTTGCATAACGAGCTCTCGCAGGCTCTATAAATCATCTTGTGTTAATGATTCCGGTTGATTTCCTTTTTTTGGGGAGGAGGTGTGAGTTTCATTGAGTCTGACCCCTTCTATTCTTTCCCCTCAAACTACTAACTCAGATTTTTCCCTCTCAGTCGGACACTGCCTCTCCCACTCTCATCTCAAACCACACGATCAAGTATGGGTGGCTCATGTGCATGCAACTCCAGTGGAGGGGGGTGGGGTTTGCTGAGTGATGCATATGAAGCCTGAAGAAAGGAAGTGGCCCTCACCACAATGGCCAAAATTCCTTGAACCTCATCTTGGTGTCTGTTCAGCATGGTAGGGCTAATCACCCAAAGCCCCCTCTTATTCACATGTTGTTGCCAATTCTCTCTCCCAAGACTTGGTCCCACTCTATTATAAATCAGCAGTCATCATCTCTCTCTACTCAAAAAGGCGGCAGTGAGAAGTGACTGAGAGGGATTCTGGGAGAATTCAGCTTGGAAACCACAACTGAGAAGGGGATCACTGAGGATCTAGTGCTCAGCAGGTGGATAAATCTTCAAAAAAGGCAGTAGTGAGAAGTGACTTGAGGAGGAATCTCAAACAATGGGTGGGAATCAGAAAGATTCCCTATCAGATCCAGAGTCAGGCAGGACTCCCTACTCTTCCCTGCCTTGTTTTTATGTTGTATAGAGCCTTTTGCTGAGTGCATCAGGAATGAAGTGAGCCTGAGAGGGGTGACTATTCCAAGCAGCGAAGGCCTGCAGGTCAAAGCTTCCCATTTGCTGCTCAGATCTGTTGTTAGTGTGCAGATTCATGAGCATCTGTGACCAGTTTGAACTAGTCTTGGGAGCCAAAGTGAATCAAGGCAAGAGTGAGGCCATGTTCTTTGGGAACTGGGCTAACCAATCCTTAATCCCTTTCACTGTCAGGACAGATTACCTGAAAGCACTGGCAATGCGGTTCAGAGGGTCAGGGTGTATGCAAAACCTTTGGAGGAGCACATAGCCAATGTGAGGCAGAATCTGTGCTTTTGGGAGCACTGATCCTCTCCACTGCACGTAAAAACCTGGTCATCAGATGTGAGGTACTCTCTCTGTTGTTGTAAGTGGTGAAAGTCTGTCTCATTCCCTGAACCTGCGTTGTTGCAGTCATCCAAGCCACCTTCCACATCATGTGAAGGTCTAAGATGGACTGTGCCCATGGCAAAACCATATACAAAACTCTGGATAAGGGGGGAAAGAATGCACCCGATGCTGCCCTCATCCTGTTAGCCACCATTATGTGTGGCTACATCAAGCTGTACATAGACCCTCGGTATGCAAACACCAAGTGTCACCATGTACTGAGGTTCTACCTGTCCCCAGCATCGCGAAGGATGAGACTGGCCTTGTTGCTGTGGAATGCTCTAAGTAGTTGCACTGCTCTGTATCATCTGTCCTTCATGTAAAAATTTGCAAAGAAAAGCACCTTTGACCATAAGTCCATTCGGAAGTGGTCGACATGTAGCATCCTTGAAACCCTGCAGGATAGGGTGGATTCTGTCGGATTGTTCCCTGAGCAGACTGTCAAAGTCGTTTGGCAGAATGCCTCACCACCAGATCTTTCCAACAAGCACCAGGACATCACTTGGCAGGGGGTGAGAAGGGCACTACCTGTGAGATTCTTCTTGTATGCCCAGACAGTGGGCATTACCGCATGCTGCACTTGAAGATGCTTTGAGGAGGTAGAGATTGTCACGCATCTCCTCTGGATTGTGCCTTTGCAAAGGAAGTCTGGAGAAAGATGCAGTTGAGGTTGTTGAGGTTCATCCCGAGCAGCTCTGTAATGCTGTACGGTCTGTTCCACAGGTTGCACACCGAGACAAACATTGACTGTGCTTGGTGGACTGTCAACTCAGTGAAATACACTCTGGTCTGCCAGAAACCTGTTGGTCTTCCAGAGCAAAGAGCTGGCCCCAACTGAGTGTTGCAGACAGGCACATTCCAATGTCCAGGATATGTGCTGAGGGACCCACTAAAGCTGCGCCGAGGTGAGGAAAGACCACCATCTGAGGTCTTTCTGCTAAAGTTAAATGGGGATCCATTCAGTTATCTGACCCGCCTAGTGACCCGATATATGTAAATATAATCTTGTACAAGCAAGAAATGCTATGAGTTTGTTTGCTGGATAGAGTCAAGCTCCAACTACCCATTCTGTCAGAATTTCAGTAGTTTAGCAGGCCTCAAAAATAGATGAGAAACAAATGGCTCCATGTAAACTGCACTAGTGGATAGTGAGGGGAGAAATATCATTTAATAGGGGACATAGGTTTAAGGTAGTAGGGGGAAAGTTAATAGGAAAGTTTATAGCAGGTGTGAGGGATAAGTTTTCTACACAAAGGGTGGTAAATGCCAGGAATGTTTTTCCATAGGAGGTGGTAGAAGCAGATACAATAGCAACTTTTAAGAGGCATCTTTACGGAAAAAATGAATAGGCAGGGAATAGAGGGATATGGGCCACGTAGAGGCAATAGACTTTTAGTTGAAAAAAGCATAATGTTTTGCAGGCTTGGTGGGCTTAAGGGCCATGTTCCTGTGTTGTACTTTCCTTTCCTCTTTGCTTTCGCAAACAACTCCCCAGTTCTCAACCTTGGCACAACGACCGCATTCACAGCCATGCAAACATAGACGCCCCTCCAGCTTTGTGCCCGCCTGTATGAAATTCTTCCTGCGCTTATCTTTGTCCAGCATCCTGCATGAACCTCATTAAGAAGGGATGAACTTTCCAAGCACTTGAGGTCTCCTTTTACTTCTTTACTTTCCAGATCCAAATCTAACTTAACCAAACGGTAATTATACAATGTAAACACAGCCTCACTAAACAGCTTGTTATCTGCTTTAACATCAATTAATTTCATCAAGAATTTGGCTTTTACTTTAGTGTAGCAATTTTCTTCCAACTACTTAAACTATTGATTTATTGTATCTGTAGTTACGCAATTTCAGTTCAAGCCATGAATGGCATAAAGAGACGGGCAGTAAATAATCACCAAATAATGGGCTTCTTGCTGCTTCATGGTTGTGGTGGACAAGCAGAGCAGGAGTTAGAATCGTAAAATTCATCCAGTTTCAAAATAGAATGTTGTCCTTTGTTTAATGGGCAATGATATGTACAATTTGGGATTTTCATGTCATTGTATTCTGCATTGGTACGACCACATTTGCAGCACTGTTCAGTTTTGGCATTGTAATTGAAGAAAATATGTAAATCCATTCAAAATAGTTCAGAAAAAAATTGCGCGGTGGTTTTGGGTGCGGTGAGTGATGTTATCTCGGAGGAAGTTTTCGGCAGTCAGGTTTTGTACACATTCGGTTCAGAAGAATGAGAGAGAGGAGTCTTACTGATGTTTAAATGACACAGAAGATACTCGACATTTTTGATACTGAGAAGATGTTGTCCCAGTGCGTATGGTTAGGAGGAGCTATTTAAAATGGCGACTCTCCAATTTAAGACGGAGGTGGAGAGGATAATTTCTCTCTCAGAGAGGTGTGACTTGTGGAATTCTGCTCCTCAGAGAAAGGTGGATCTGAGTCCATACAACCAAAGAAATGATATAGCACTGAAAGGGGCCATTCGGCCGACCCAGATAAAAAGCTGAGATAACAAGGTGTAGAGCTGGATGAACACAGCAGGCTAAGCAGCATCATAGGAGCAGGAATGCTGACGTTTCAGGCCTAGAATCTGAAGAAGGGTCTAGGCCCGAAACGTCAGCCTTCCTGCTCCTCTGATGCTGCTTGGCCTGCTGTGTGCATCCAGCTCTACACCTTGTTGTCTCAGATTCTCCAGCATCTGCAGTTCCTACTATCTCTGATTAAAGGTTCACACCACTGATGAGGATGTATTAAACAAACCTAAGATGCTGTTCAATCTTTAACCAGTCAGAAGGTTTTAATTGATTAATATGTATATGTAAATCTCCAAATTCCTTTCAAGTCACAGTCCTGAGAGAACCAAAGGCTTTATCAGTGTAAAGATGAGGTGACCTTATAGGTCAGACAATGTATGTTAGGTGTGAAACTGTGTTTAGAACTTGTTTGTGTTTTAGTTTGGAGTCAGACTGGTTTTATTTCTAAAGTAGAAATTTATAAAACACCACATTTACTGATGTCTATTAATTGTGCGTGTTTTGAACAAAATGAAATGTATCTGCAAATACAAATTCACCCCTTAGATTCACGTGTGTATGTGTGTGTGTGTGTGTGTGTGTGTGTGTGTTGGGGGGAAGGTGGAGAGAGTGTGCGCGTGTGGGAGAGAGAGTGCGTGTGCATGTTGGAGAGCGTTTGTGTGTATGTGTGAGAGTGTGTTTGTATGAGTGAGTGTGCGTGTATGTATGCATGTGTGTGAGTGTATGTGTGTGAGAGAGTTTATAGCGCGGTGGGGTCACCTGTCATGCAACATGAGCCCACGATCCCGGTTGAGGCCGCCCTCATCGTTACCGAACTTGGCAAACAGCCTCTGCTTGGTGACTCTGCATTGTTGTATATCTCGAAGTCCGCTTTGGAGGATGTTTACCTGAAGATCTGAGGCCAAATGTTGTTGACCGCTGAAGTGTTCCCCCACTGGGAGGGAACATTTCTGTTTGGCGATTGTTGCACGGTCTCTGTTCATCCGTTGTCATAGTGTCTGCCTGGTCTTCCCCAATGCATCATTCCTCGGGGCATCCTTGCCAGCAGCTTATGAGATAGACAACGCTGGCCGAGTCACATGAGTATCTGCCGTGCACATGGTGTGTGGTGTTCCCTCCTGTGATGGTAGCGTCCATGTCAAAGATCTGACATATCTTGCAAACGTTTCCATGACAGAGTTGCGTAGTATTGTGGTTGATGTTGTCCTGAAGGCTGGTTAGTTTGTTTCGAACACTGGTCTGTTTAAGATTTGAGAGTTGTTTGAAGGTGAGATGTGGAGGTGTAGGGAAGATCTTTGTGAGGTGCTCATCATCATTGATAATGTATTGAAGGCTGAAAAGAACATGGCGTAGTTTCTCCGCTCCCGGGAAGTACTTGCAATCCAATGAGCCCGGCAAAATCCCCAAAATTAATACTATTCTAAATCTAAGGTTACGTGCTGAATTCTCTCCACCACTCATTGTTTTGTAATCTCTATCAAGTCGGCCTGTGGCCTCCTACATTCAAGTAAAAACAGACTGAGTTTTTTTAATCTGTCCTCATAGCTAATGCCCTCCAAACCGGGCAACATCCTGGTTAACCTTTTCTACACCGTTTCCAATGCCACCACATGGTGCATGGCAACCAGAACGGTGTGCTATATTCCAAATGTGGCCTTAGTAAAGTCCTATACAGCTGCAATATGACCTGCCAATTTTTATACTCAGTGCCCTGACTGGTGAAGGCAAGCATGCGACACGTCTTCTTGATCACATCATCCTCCAGTTTTTTCGTTGTCACTTTCAGGGGATTGTTGACCTGTACGCCCAAATTCCTCTGTATGTTAATGTTTCCAAGTGTTCTGCTATTTACTGCATACTTCCAACCTGCAATAAACGTTCCAAAATGCATCCCTTCGCATTTGTCCTGATTGAATTCCATCTACCATTTCTCCAACCAAACCTCCAGCCTATTTAAATCCTGATGTAATCCTCTGGCAAACCTCCTCAATATCCACAGCTCTCCAATCTCAGTGTTTTCTGTAAACTTAGACCATTCTTACATTTTTTTCCAAATAATTTATATATGTTACAAACTAAGGGGCCCCAGCACTGATCCCTGCAGAACACAACTGGTCACAGATCTCGAGTCAGAAAAATGCATCCTACTAACACTACTCCGCTTTCTATGACCAAACCAGTTATGTATACATATTACCAGCTCACTGTGGATGTCATGTGATTTCATTTTGTACATCAGCCTGCCATGAAGGATCTTGTCAAAGGCCTCGCTGAAGCCCATGTAGCCAACATCAACTCCTCTGCCCTCATCAATCACCTTTCTCACCTTTTTCAAAAAATCTCAACAATATTTGTGAGACACGACGTCCCTCACGCAGAGCCATGCTGCCTAATCAGTCCATGTTTTTCCAAGTGTGAATAAATTCTGGCTGTAGAAATCTTTTCCAATAATTTCCCTACCACTCAAGCTCTCTGGCCTGCAAGGATTATCCTTGTTGCCCTTTTTAAACAAGGAACATCATTGGCTATTCTCCAGTTCTCTGGTATCTTGCCTGTGACTAAAGAGGGTAGAAAGATTTCGTCCAAGGCCCAGCAATTTCATCCCTCACATCCCTCAGTATTCTGGGATAGGTCTCATTAGGCTCTGGGGACTTGTCTACCTTCATGCTTTTCAATAGATAAACATCTTTTTTAATATAGTCATTCTCTGGGATATCAACATACTCCACTCTAGATTCACCATTCACTGTACCCTTCTCCATGGTCCCTGGTTCCACACATAAATATCTGCCTTTGCCCTTGAGTGGATTTATCCTTTCTCTATCTACCCTCTTGCTTCTTATAAACCGATAAGAAGCTTTGGGATTTTCCTTAATACTGTTTGCCAAGGTCATTTCATGGCCTCTTTTAGCCTTCCTAACTCTTTGCTTAAGTTCTTTCCTGCTATCTTTATATTCCTCAAGTTGTCTGTCTCTTCATTTTCCTAAACTTTACATTACCAGGATGGAGAAACAGTCGATTGCCGCTTTATTGCGTGATCCACAGGCAAATGGGCATAAGGTAAATGAGGTCAACGAATTGAAAGAACTCTCATTTGACAAGGTGTCACATAAAACGTTATACATAATTTAGTATTAGGAGGTTAACTATTCTCTTGGGTAGACAATTAGATGACTGGCAACAAAACATGTGTCTTTCCACCTCACCCTATTTTCACCTCCGTTTTGAAAGTTCAGATTTTCTGACCACCCTTAGGCTTTTCAGGTCGCATTTTGTGGCTGAAGCTCACCGAGACGTATGTGACCACACTCTGGTCATTCATAAACATGAAACAGAGAAAGTGAGGACCACAATAGTGATTGCCCCCTGTTCCACGATCCTGCATCATCTAGTTACTCGGTGTTTGTTTTTGAAATGAGCTTCAAGATAAGAGATGTATGACCAAGTCCTGTGGGGGTTGGAAGTGGATCAACCAACAAATATCATTATACAGGAAGTCAAAGATTTCAACCTGCGAGTGTTGGTTCTTTGATGATGAATAGCCATTGGCTACAGGTGAAAGCATAACTAACATCAGCTAGCCAATAAAGATTAATGAGATACATATGGTTGTACAGGGCAATGTTTCGTAAATCAGCAGTAACAAAAGTAAAAGTTTTGTGAACTGCGCTGATGGCAATGATAATCTTCAAAAACACATATGTAGACTGGTGAATGGAATGGGACAATGAGTTGTGCCCAAGTCGACAAAGATGATATGGCTGCAGTGACGATACCATAGCTTTAAGAGGTGTATTTTGTTCTGGGGGCCTGGGTTCGAATCCTACCATGACAGATGGTGGAATTTGAATTCAATAAATAACTGGAATTAAGGTTCTCATGATTACCACAAATTCATCGCTGATTGTTGGGGAAAAACCCATTTGGTTTACTTCTGTCCTTTAGGGAAGGAAACCGCCACCCTTACCTGGGTCTGGTGTACAGGGGACTCCAGACCCATAGCAACATGGTTCACTCTTAACTGCCTTCTGGGCAAATAGGGATGGGCAATAAATTCTGACCTAGTCAGTGACTCCCTTATTCCATGAACGAATAATAAACAAGTCAGGTTAGGGACCATTAAGATGAATTTAAATGATTTAATTTTACTGTGTTTCAAATACTACAGGAAGAAAGAATGATGTCTATGACTGCCTCAATGTCATATAAGACACTGTTAGGTATTAATTTCTGTGCATCCTGTCTTACAAAATATATGCTGGGGTCAGAGAGGGTCTATTAAGGCTTTGCAGCTGTGGTTCCACAAATAACGAACTTTATTGACATAGCTGACTTGGACAACGCATTGCTACCATTTGGAGGGTAGAAAATATGCGAAAATAGTATGGTGTTAGATTCAAAATCATGATGTATCCAGACCGACTGGATAGGGAGAATTTGCTATCACACCACAAATATTGGTTACCAGAAGAACCAATCTGAGGATATTGGCAAATGAATTAACAGCAATATGTCGTGAAATGTTAGCATTTGGAAATTCGCTCTCAGAATACAATTTATGCTGTAACAGCAGGGCCCTAGTTTACTTTCATAATCTACTGGTTCAGACAAAGAAAAGAAAACAGAATGATGTGGCAACTTCTTTATTCCCCGTGGACCTCTCAAAATGCGTAAATTGCAGGAGCTGGGAAAGTGTTGTATTAGTATGTAACGTGCATGAGTGACAGCAGTATGAAGAAATTATTTCCTTCACACTGGACATTATGAGCGTGTTTTATAGCATCAAGAAAATATATTACTTGATTCTTGCCATTATTGGTGTTCCTGGTAAGTGATCTTTGATGTTGCATACGTTTTTACAAAAGTGATTCTCTATTTTTATATCTCAGTTGCTGTTAATGCATTATTGCAATTTCAATGCTCGAGTGGTAAGAAACTGAGTGATACAATTCCTTGAAGGTGAATGTGCAGAAATAATATTTAGCTTTTATTGTTCTCGACTAGGAACATCTCAGTAACTTTATAACAGACAAGGAGGCGATTCAGTCCACTGTGTCCATGCTAGTCAACAAATATTTGACTGCACTAATCTCATTTTGAATCAGAGCCTTAAGGCTCTGGCAGTGCAACTGAATAACTTAAGACTGCTTGAAAATGTAACTACTACAGTGGTGAGAATTGCTGACTTAATCAGCCTTTCATTCAGTAGGTTCCAAGCTCCCAACCCCTCTGGATGAAAATCATCTCAACCATTGTTCTTTTAGACTTCTAGCCCTTACCCTAAGTCTACGATCCCTGGCTATTGATGCCTCTTAGCCTTGTAAATCAAAATCTCAATTTTTAAAGCATATGGTTAGTTTTCAATTTAACTAAACCTTACAGCAAGAAATTCCCAATTTAACACAATATATTTAAGCATCAGTTAATGCAAAATCTTACAGTGACTTCAGCAGTTTGCAACACTAATCCCAGTGGTTTGGCAGAACTTGAAACAAGCAAAAAATCATGAGTTTTGTTCTTAGTTTCCTCTCCTCAATCGCCTTCAAGGGGTCCATCTTTAACACTATTCTTCCCTTATGCTAACTGTTGTATGATGTTTCAAGGGATTCAAAATCTTCTTTATGTATTATCAGCCCTGAGCATTCTACTTTGATTTTAACATTACATGAAAGCTATTCTTGAGCTATTATTTTCCAGATCTGCGGAAAGGTTATTTGCACAGAGCTCTAAAGCTTTTCTCTCAGCAAGGATCTGCCTGTTCAATGAGCGTTGTCAATACTCTCCCGTTTCTTTCAAGCTTATTGCAAGATTAATATTTTCCTTTGCTCCATTTATTAAACGCTGATGTTCACAGAAGGCAGGAGGTGCAGCAAGGTGGGCTTTAGGATCAGAAAGCAAGGAATTGAGTTCTGTTACAACTGTGTGACATTTGAAAGACATAATTGCTGAATTCCGTTGTTAAGACCTTCCCTCCAGAAAAGGATTGAGAGACAAGTTCCACATTCAGATGGGCCATGTAGACACCAGATAAAGCGAACAAGCCAGTCATTCTCTGACACTGATTCCAAGTTGTGAGTGGTGGGTTTTGGGTCGTGGGACAGTTCCATCCCAAGTATATCCAATAAACAATAGAGATAGGGACACTTGCTGTCATCGATCCATGTGCTGCCCATCCCAATCCCTGATCAATAACTCCATGGAATGTTCAATCTTGGTATAGAGGATGAATTAATTAAGAATCCTAGCTTGTGGACTTTTTCCTTTGTTGGGAATTCTCTCTTTCTACACAGCAAGTAGATCTGGTATCAAATCAACATTGCACATGAACAGGCAAACATTGAAATAAAGGCAAAAATAATTTAATAAAATGATGGCTGGTCTGAATACAAATTCAAATTCACAATCCCACCTACTCATGAAAACCTGTCACCCACATTTCTACCAAGAATCTATCCAATTGCCTTAAAAATTCAAAGTTGATGGTTGCATTAACCTTGTCCAAATTCTCCATCTGGAATCTACTCCCTGACTTTATAATTGGTCCCCACATGGACAACAATGATTGGATAATCTCCCTATCATTGTGAGATTCTTCCCAGACATGAGAGAGCTCCCAAACTCTGGCACTGAGCAGACTTCACAGCAGTTCAGACTCATGTAATTTCTATACAGAAGTGTCAATCTCTCTGACCAGACTGCTCATGACTGTCACTATATTCCTCATTGCTATCATACTTGAAAGTCTCTCTGCACTTGCGTATAATGGTCTGTTAGCTAACCCAGACTGCATACAACACTTTCATTCAAATATGTTGAATCATATCATCGTGGTTGGGTAATTGCAAAGGCTGCAGATCCCATGCTAGTCCCCTCTGTTCTCCTATTGCGTGACATGGAACAAATGAGAAAACTGTTAATCCTCTGAGATAAAGATATTGTTTCACTTTATCTGATTTTGACCTCATTCTCTGTTCACGCCGCCCTCCCATCACCATTCTTCTTTCACCGCTTATGTCTTCTCTGATCCATCATTTATTTGAAATTGTTTGATTCTCCTCGCATCCGCCTCCCTTTTGGCAATGAATCACACCTGCCCTCTAAAGGATCTTTGTTATTTCACGGCCGAACATGCAACTTTACTCTAGATTTAGTATTTTGTTAAAACTATTTTTCCAACTATTCTCTTGTATAAGGCATACATTACGGAGCGCCACAGCTATTCCTCTCTTCGTAGATGTGAGCTTGCTGCACGTTGCCATATTCTCCTATTTCATTCAGACTTGATGCAGGCTCAGTATTATTCTTTTGCTCCAGTGCTTATGCTTTGATGTTAATTGCTGCCACATAGGTGAGCAGAATAGAAAGCAAGGAATTGAGTTCTGCCAAAGTCCTGTGGGAATGTGAAATCTATATTTTCTGATTTCTGTCCTTAAGGCACTCTTTTCGTGGAAAAGAACCGGAGTTACAAAGTGTAAGATGGACATGGGTAAGGTAGGTTCTGTAAAACTTGAACAAGCCAGTCACCCTCCACCATTAACTCCATGTTCTAGGTTCGTGGCATAGTTAGAGGGGCAGTCCCATTCGATGTGCACCCAATTCCACAAACCCTGAAGTAGAAGGAGTCTGGTGCCTCCTGTTATTGTGTTATCCATCCCAATTTCTGACCCATGACACTACGGAATGTGTAATCTTGGCATGAAGATGATTTGATTGCCAATCCCTGTACAGTGTTATATGGGAAATATATTCACCTAAAAAAGAAATTTAGAACAGAAAAATGAAAAATATCCAAGCCATGCATCATAATTGATTTACAAACACTTCACCCTGGAGCCTTTGAATGTCTCTTGCTCTCTGCCAATTTCTTAAATGGAGAAAAAAATAGCTATAATTCTGAACAAAAACAGAATTTGCTGCAAAAGCTCGGCAGGTCTGGCAGCATCTGTGAAGAAAAATCGCCGGACCCGAAATGTTAACTCTGATTTTTCTTCACAGGTGCTGCCAGACCTGCTGAACTTTACAGCAACTTCTGTTTTTGTTCCTGATTTACAGCATCCGCAGTTCTTACAGATTTTGTTTTAGCTATAATCCTGTTCAGATTTTAAAATTTACTGTTTGGCCTGACCTCAAAAATCCCAGTGTTGTCAGTAAGAATTTATTTTATGATATGAAATCTGATATGGAGAATGGGTGAATAGCAGTTTCTTATATGCTCCAGCCCCATCTCTTTCTCTGTCTGTTACAGTAAATATAGTGGCGATTGGAGTCCTGTCACGGGGAACATGTGGTCTTACCAACTGTACTACTCGCTACCTAATGGCCATGGCGATGGCGGATTTACTGGTCATTATCACAGATGTCATCCTATACCGGATCAGCTATTTTGTTTTTCCAGCATCTTTCCTCAACATCACTCCAGTGTGTAGTGTTCTCTTTGTCCTGGCACGTACCACCACAGACTATTCTGTGTGGTTCACTGTTACCTTTACCTTTGATAGATTTATAGCCATTTGTTGTCAGAAGCTGAAAACAAAGTATTGCACTGCAAAAGCTGCAGTTGCCATTCTAGTAACAACCTCCATCCTGCTGTTTTTAAAAAACATACCCAACTACTTTGTACTTGAAGCAGGAGATATAGTTGATAATATATCATGGGGTTGTTACTTCAATCCAAATTGCTATACTGACCCAGGATGGATAGTATTTGATTGGTTTGATGCAGTATTAAACCCACTGCTGCCGATTGTTTTAATGATGTTACTTAACACCTTGACAGTCAGACATATTTTAATGACCAGTCGAATCCGCAAGGGACTGATAGGTCGGAAAGCGGGTGATATTTACAGTGACTCAGAGATGGAAAGCAGAAGAAAATCTGTGATCTTACTTTTTGCAATTTCTGCCAGCTTCATACTTCTGTGGTTGGTGTCTGTCATCCATTTCTTTTATGACAAGCTTACCAGAATAAGTACTGATACTTACAAGAATTTAGAATACATTATTCAACGAATTGGGTTCATGTTGCAAAATTTAAGTTGCTGCACAAACACATTTATTTATGGAGTGACACAATCCAAATTCAGAGAACAAGTCAAGAGAGTGGTGAAATATCCATTTATATCAATGTTTCGATCACTTCATAATAAAATCAACTGACTGCCATCCAAATCCAGTTCCCAGTGTTTCCACTCAAATAAAAACAATATATTGTGGATATTAGAGATCTGGAAATTGGAAAGAATGAAATGTTGGAGAAACTGAACAGGTCTGCAGCATCTTTGGTGAGGAAAACAGAGTTTACATTTTGTGTTCAAGATGACATTCCTTCATAACCTGCAGGAAGTGTGGAAACGTTAAGTGTGTTTCCCTCATGTTAGGTACAGCTAGATCCTTCAGATCATGAAGGGAATTTTGAGACGGCATTAAGAGATACGACTGATAGTTGCTGTGCATTCAGTTCAACTAATTGATCAACGATCGACGAAGTTCCATTTAAGCTTCCTCCCATAGATTTTCATGTAAATTGGATATTGAAGCTGTCGATTCACTTTCTGCTAGATTGTTTGTTTAAGTTCACCATAAATGTAAATGTTCACTCTTTGTAATTTCGGTACATTGAAAATTTCTGCTGGAACTCTAGGTGGCTATCTTACCGCTTGCTATGCTAGCTCTCATTTATGGAAACAATATTCGTATTTACTTTATTCAAATTATTGAAGAACTTATACATTCCATTCGGTAATCCTTTCAATTTGTTTCCAACCTCGAAGATGCTCTGTCAGTCAATCTTTATCTTGTGACATTAAGCCATAGATTTTCCACTGGATGACCATCTGAAATCATGAGGGATCTGGAATTAGGAATATTGTTTGTATTTGGTGGAGGAAGCCTTGCGCAGTGGTTGCCAGGTAGATGTGAGGGAGAGTCAGAGTTGCACCTGCAAAACAGAAGGGAAAACATGAATAAGATTCTTCAGCTCCATCTGCCGAACGTTGATCTCCTCAATACAATACAACCACAATAAAACAAAATGTTGCAGATTTTGTAAATTTTTTGTGCCATTTGAGTATTGCTTTCAACTAGCATAATTCATCCAAACTCTAACCCCGCACCTCATTACAACCCCTCACAATCACCCATGATGGGGATGATGGAACAGTACACATCTGGAGTGGCAGTACTGAGTGATTCAGATACTACTTCAATGGAAGTATTTCGTAGTGTTGCTTTATTGAAGCACCAGAACGATTGATAAAGGAATTGTCAAAATGGGGTGTCTGAGACAAGCAATGAGAATGCTGTAGGAACTCAGCAGTTCTCCAGTATCTGTGGCGAGAAGAAGAGAGTTAACGTTTCGAGTCTGGTATGCCTCTTCTTCACCACAGAAGCTGCAAAACCTGCTGAGTTTCTCCAACATTCTCTACATTTGTTTCAGAATTCCAACATCCATATTATTTTGCTTTCATTTGAATGTCCGGTGAAGTGCTGCAAGGTACAAAGCAGAAGGTTGAGGGAGTCTGTTCTGTTGGGAGCATCACAGAGTGCTGTACTGACTGCGGCTGTATGCAATTGTAGCAGTCTATTGTCATAAAGTCGGGAATTATAGAACATGGTGGTGTCAGATGGGCAGAGCTGTGGGAATGTTTCTCTGTTGAAGAGGTGGCACGAGTAGTGAGACACCACCAATGCATACAAGGGCAATAAAAGGGAAAATTCTGGAGAAGGTCTGCAGATCTGGCGGCATCTGCAAAGAGAGAAATATTTAACATTTTGAGTTCAATGTGAATGAGTAAGTGTTTACATTTCTGTGCAAAAGGTCAGATGCATTCTAAAGGAATATGAATGAGAATAAGTTAGGGTGGCATTAATGTAGGTGCTGCACTTTCAGTTGGCACTTCTTTTAGTGTCCACTGAGGATGGCAAGTGTGCAGAATGCCATCTGATTGAGAGATTTCGATGTCTACGACCAAGTGTGGCTCGGCCATAACACTACTTATTGAAATATTTCGGTCAAAAGAATATTGCTGTTAGACTGTATCAGCGGCACGGATTCGTGGAACTAAGAAGAGGGGAAGAAAAGGCCTGATTGACCACACCATTGCTAATCTACCTGCTGCGGATTCTCCTGCACACGACAGTACTGGTATGAATGATCGCTGCACAGTGCGGCTGGAATTGAAGACGCAACTTCACATTGATAATTTCCTCTATCATGATGCATGGCACTATCGCTGTGCTAACTAGGACAGAATTCTAAAAGGTCTAGCAACTCAATACTGGGCAACCATCATGCACGGTAGGCCACAAACAACAGCAGAATTGCAATCAAACATAACCTGTATCATCGTGGCCTGGCATATATTGAGCTCTACCATGAACATCAAGCCAAATAATCAACCCCACTTCAATGATGAATGTGGGAAGGGTGTCAGAAGCAGCATCTAGCGTAACTGCAAATGAAGTGTTGACTTGATGAAGGTATGAAGCACGACTACTTACGTGGAAAACAACCTAGGATCATAAGACCCACAGAAATAGAAACAAGAATAAGCTGGTCAATAAGATCAGGCTGATTATCCAAAAGGTCTGGGTAGATTCGGCACTCTCATTTCCAATTATCTGGCCTTTCCCCATAACCATAGGTTCCTCAAATGGTCAAGCATCTACCGCATCTGAACCTTAAATATAAACAATATTTCTGCCCTCACAGCTCTCAATGGAAAAGCATTCCAAACACTCACAATAATCTGAGTGAAGAAATTCCTTATGATCCCAGCCTTAAATTGGTGCCCCTTAATTCTGAGAATACATCCTGTGGTCATAGACCCTCCCATGAAGGGAAACTTGCTCTCAACATTTACCTTGTCATGGCCCTTAATAATCCTGCATGTTTCAATGAGATCACCTCTCATTCTTCTAAACTCCTATGAGTAGACTCCCAATCTATTTAGCCTTTGCTCAGAAGATGATCTCTGTATACTGGAAATCATCCTACCAAGCATTCTCTGAACTGGTTCCAATGAAATGATATTTTTCCTTAAATAAGTGAGCCAAAATTGCTCACAATGTTTCAGATGTGATCTCACCAGCACCTTATACAGTTGTAGTCTACTACAGCACTCTGTGATGCTCCCAGCAGAACAGACTGTCTCAACATTCTGCTTTGTACCTTGCAGCACTTCACCGGAAATTCAAATGAAAGCAAAATAATATGTTTACTGGAATTCTGAAACAAACGTAGACTTCCCTACTCTTTTACTCAAACATCCTTGATGTGCAGATCAAAATTCCATTAACAACCCTGAATACTCATTGCATGTGTATGCTTAGCTTTCTGTGTTTCATGCACCAGTACACCCCAAGTCTTTTTGGGTTCTTTCAGTTTTTCTCCAGTTAAATGTGGCGCTGCTCTTTTGTTCTCCATTTGAAAATGAACAATTTCACACTTCCCCACACGATACCCTATTTGCCAACATTTTTTCCTGCTGACTGAACCTATCAATAAATGACACATGAAAGACAGAGCTAGGCGATCTGATAAACAATCAATCAGATCTAATCACTGCAATCCTACCACAGTGGTGGTGGAAGATGGATCAAGGCAGAACGGTAGGCATGGTATGTATGGATTTCAGCAAAGCGAATAACAAAGTTATGCATGGAAGACTGTTTAGTAAGTTTAGATCACATGAGGCTGGGGGGAGTTAGCCAACTGCATATAAAATTTGGTTGAAGGTAGGAGTTAGAGGGTGGTTGTAGAGGGTTGCTTGTCAGTTTGGGAGCTTGTGACCAGCGGTGAGCCACAAAGGTCGGTGCGGGGTCCACTGCTTTTTGTCATTTATATAAACAATTTGGATGTGAATATAGGGGTATGGTTAGTAAGTTTTCAGATGATACCAACATAGGTGGTGTAGCGGACAGTGAAGAAGATTATCTCAGAGTACAATGGAACCTTGATCAGATGGGCAAATGCACGGAGAAGTGGCAGGTGGAGTTTAATTTAGATAATTGTGAGGCCATGCATTTTGGTAAGGCAAACCACAGAAGGACTTATACCGTTAATGGCAGCGCTCTGGGGTGTGTTACGTTGATGAGTACTGCATTTCTTGTACTGAACGTCAAAGTGCAATGAAGTGGAGAGTTCCACAATATTGAAGTCGAAGCAATGGGAAAAAAAGTATACTATTTCCAAAATAACGTTGTCTGTCATTCGTTTAGGAACACATAGTTTGTGCTGTTCTGTGGTGTCAGCTACTTCTAACTAGTACAAGAGCATTGTTAGACAATTCTGCCTTATCGCCTTGGAAATATTCTGTGGCTTGTGAGAGAGGGAATGAACATTTAAATGTTAGATACTATGTCAAACAAGCTGATGATTTTTCTTGGCCATTATTGATCGTCTTATTGTAGAAACTGTGTTGTTCCTGATAAAGGAAGAACTTTCCAGCGACAGATAATTTTCTAGCTTGATTACCATTGTCTTCAGTTTCACTCTGGACCTTGATGCCACGTTCACTAAAGTACTACTGTGATAACAAAGGTACTGATGTGCTCAAACCCCTTGGAATTTAGAATTTTACCCATGCTTGACCTGAACATGAGCCTGGAGCAGAGTGGTTCATGAGAAAATCAAAAAAAGAAATCAGCAAGGAGGCTGTGGCTTCTTAAATTATTCTTGATTGTAATTCACAAAGAAAACCCTTTCATTGGTTCATTAATGTTGAAGAGTAGATACATGGGGCAGTAAATTAATAATTTGATTTTTTTCTGGTCTCTGAGAACAAGATATGACTGGATATTATTTAACGCTGTAAATGTTGAAAGTAGTTGCAGGGATAGATCAGAAGCAAATGTCTGCAAGGCTCCAGTCAACCTGTTATAGGAGTATGCAGTGCACTAAGCCAGTGTGGTTGAAATTGTCTGAACACAGCACACCTGATGATTTGGACCTTGGAAGCAAGCCACAGTCCATCGTTATCTTGATCCTTCAAACTGAATGTTTTGCCTTTGCCTTTTATATGAACGTGCTTTGCTGCCAAATTCCTGTGAATGGGAAGGGTGGAGATGAATAATACAAGTTCTTTTTGATTCACTTTTCCACGACCATTCATGATAAAATGCACCAAAAATTCAAAAGTTTAATTTGTCCCACATTG